CCTCAGGCGATAAATAATGACATGTTCTTAAACGATGGGTTTTCAGTATTCAATTTTGCTCAAAACTCACCTGGTACACAATTAGGGGATAGCGAATTGCTGTTACAAGGGTCGTCTCTCCTAAGGGTGGCAAGCCGTTTCCACAGTGTCACCCTCGAATTGACCAAGACTTTTCGTTTTTATTTCTCCGAAATACTTGCAGCTGTTCCCTTCCTGACATTGGGTATCAAGTGCTCCCTAACGTATTCTTAAGATGAAGTCTTATCCACCGATGAAAACACTACCACAGTTTAATATTATTATTTCCTAGTTTCTTGCTAGGAGCCGGCCAGAAGCATGGAAACTACCCGAGCGATGACGCGTTTCTGAGGTCACGTGACTAAATCATCAGCAAGAGAAGTGAAACGTGAAATTATCAAGAAGGAGGGAGAGCACTTTGATCTCAACTTGACTGGTCTCAAAGGGGCAATACACTCTACTTTCAAGCCTGTTTGTACGATACGTGTTGCATTGATGTCTGAAAAAGGAGATTCCACGTTGGAAACGGAAAGCGTTCCGGTGAAGCCCGCGGTTTCGGCTCAAAGAGCGAGACGTTCAAGTCTGTTCGAGGTTGGGTTTCCAGTTCAACGAGACCGTGGATCCAGCATCGTTTCCATCCCCAGCATTGTACCGAGCCATTTACACACACTTCATCAAAAAGTCACCTTTGAAAACACCTTCAAAATGGAGCCAGACAAGCGATTACACATCGGCGAAGTGAAAGAAATCCTGGACGAAATGCTGTCGTCTTCGTTGAAGGATGTGAAGTACGATGCCATCAAATGTCGTGCTTTGAGCAAATCTCTTTCTCACACAATCTGTGAGAGAGTTAAGCTTCTGGGATTTACGCGCTTCAAGATAATTTCCAGTGTGAGCATCGGGCAGATAAAGGGCCAAGACGTTAGAATTGCTAGCCGCTTTCTGTGGGATGAAAAACATGATTCGTGGGTAGATGCAGTGTTTACAAATTCAGAAATATTCGCTGTTGCGGTAGTCTATGGAATTTATCAAGAATAAAGCGAAGGAAAAGGTAGCGTTAACTTAATGATAAGAAACTTTATTTTTAGTTTATTGAATCGTTCGATTCAAAAGAAAATAGAAGCGTTTATATCATTTAAAACCCGATAAAGTTAGGTTTATTTGAATGTACACAACTTCGCTACAATGGTTGTAAGTAAAAATTCGTTTAAAGTTTAGGATCATCTTACTTGAATACTCGTTCGGCTTCTATAAGTTTCAATTTAAATTTTCTACGAATACTTCATTGCAATGAATTACTTGCGGTGTAATTTATTCATAGAGTTATTTTCAAAATACCCATTTCGATTTCACTTTGTAATGACCCTTGAAAGTTGTCATCTTCTTGAGGGAAGTACCCCCTTAAATTGAAGTGCCTACATTAAATGTACAGTTTATTGAAAAATGTGGCTTCTTTATCGAGCGATTTATTAAGTTGTTAGCAGATAAGGCTTTACTTGACGAAAAACTCATGGATTGCAAGGAATTTACAGAGTAAAGGCACTTGCCAAATGGTGTGATTCTCCATCCGGTAATGGCGGAGAAATCGCATGACACCTTAAATAATTACATTTGCATCCTCTGAAAGACTTCTTGCGAGGTGCCATTAACGGAAGAAGGGTAGAAAACCGAAAGAACTGAACCGCAAAGAAACGTCGTGAAGTACCCTTCTGCAAAAAGGACCTCCGGCTACCCCTCCCTGCGTGGAATTTTTCTAAAAGTACCAGCCATATTTCATAACTATCCCAGTTTCCAACTAAGAAAGAGACTCTAGATTCTTAACGCCTATAATACCTGCAGGGCACTGTTTTGATGATAATAATGCAAGCATTGACAAAAACTGTGAAAAATATGTGGAACAGGTAAAAATGGTTACGAACTTTTATCTGCGAACATTAACAATCAAAGGTGTAAATTCTCTCAGATCTGAGACAATATGTGCTGGCCCCTACATAAGCTAACTGGTTACGTAAAACTTTTCAACATAATTTTTAAGGCTTTGTTGTAAATCCTTCAATTGATTTATTTTCTAAGTTTAAAGGATGACAAAGGGGAACGAGTGCATTTGACATTTGCATTTGTGGTATAGGTCACACAGGAAGTAACAAGGTGCTTTGTTATATGCTCAGGACTCCTCAATAGGCAAAAGTATCTTTAAACCTTTTGACACCTAAGAGTGACTAGCATCCAATTTCTCCTTACAATATCACCCTGAATTAAACATCAAGGTCACAAAAATAAAGGAAATGATCACCAATAAAAGAAGCTCTTGATTATTAAGCAAATTCTCCTTGCCAAGACCTTAGGAGTGTATAGAGAACAGTATGGAGAATATACATACTGATGAGTAAAGGATTACAGCGGTCATTTTATTGTCTGGGCCAGCCAGAACACAAACATATAACACTATTGAAATACTTTGGAGAGAAAATTCCTAACGTGGATGTCCTTTCAAGTTCTCCATGACAAAATCACACTTATTGTACTTAAATTGAGCCCTAGTATTAATCTAAACCACTCTAATATAATATCAAATATACTAATTAAATAATAAATTTATAATTATTTGAACTCTTACTACCTATCCAGTATTTGTTAATCATAATTTACAGGTTCAGTATGATAAACACTAATTCTGAAGTTTTCTTTCCATTCAATTACTAATATCATTTTGTCACTCCAACAACATAATTCTCAAAATCATAACTCATGGTAAACAACACTGATTACACTAAAAAAAAACGTCACACAATGATGCATCTCATTGGCTTGCATTAAGCCAGGGCTTTTCAACTCAAACAAAGCATTTGGAGATAACTTTCACTTTTTCGGATCTCTGATTCAAGACCTTGACAAAAACTTGATTTACTAGGAAATCTCGTTCTGTTCATCCGTGGACGCAGCTATTGCATCAACACCCCCGCCCTGAGGAAACGAATATCATCGCTGCTGTTAATATAGCCCGTCCCCATAACACATCCCCATCATTCCAAGCACCATAGAATGCGCCATGCTGTCGCTGTCAGTATCGCCAGCGATGATTTTCAGCTTGGGTCGACGCCTGCGCAGTCGATACACCACATCATGGCGCACGCGCATTTGATCAGTGATGATCAATCCCTTCAAGTTTGGCAACACACTCATGTCAAACAAACGCTTGATACATTCATCCGTCAGGGAACCCGAACTGCGGTCATGACCACTGACTTCTAGTTCTTCCATTAGCGGGCACCTATACATGACGTCAATGACCGCGGCATCGGTAGCACCGGTGACGGACTCCAAACGGAGTTTGCGTAGATTGGGACAGTTGCTGGCAATGTGGTGCACGGCCACATCTGACAACCATACGCCAGTCCCTGTGTCTGAGGATCCAAGCTCTAGTACCACTAAATTGTCCTTGCAGAGGTCCACGGCTTTTATGACGTCATCATCCCGCACAGAAAACTCTGAACCAAATGTAATACTTCGGAATGGTGTAGGAATACCGCTGATATCATCCAGGTCATCCCTAGAACTAAACATATTCGACAAACAATTGCAAAAAAATTCTTATCAAATTAAATAATACTGCCGATCATTTGTGAGCCTCATAGGTAGTTGGATGAGGCTGGAAGAGGAAATCAGTGCGTTAAAAAGTTGTGCTTGCTAATCTTTCAGGACCTCTACGCGATCCATAATTTTTTTAGCTACCCTTACTATGCTTGTGTTGTAAGTTGGAGAATATTTCGATCTAAGTTGTAAAACCAAGAGCCAAGTAACAATCACGATGACCAATCAAAACAAAGAAGAAAATGGGAACCAATGAGAGTACAACGTGAAAACAAATACACCACGTGACATGCAGAGAAAGTCGTGATTGGTTTAAGTTTTTATCTGAATTGTTCAGCATATGGTTTGAGCTTTCAAATGAACAACCAACTCCTTTGGATACAAACCTGAAGAAAACTTTGGGTTCAATCATGTAGAAGCTTAAATTCCGTTCAAAAACTGGGGGCTCAAATACACTAAACGCATCGTCGTGGACAGAACATGGCTCGGCGATCTTTTTACAACACCGTCCACACATTTCAAATTCGCAGCCTTTCTTGGGCTGGTTGGAGCATCTTGATCCTTTGCACTGATATTTTCTTGGGTTGTTTGGTTTCGTGTACGGTCTCTCTGTAGCAGCGCGCTCTTCAGCCTTCACAAACTCCTTCGCATTCCAGTTGAGGCGTTTGTCTACTCGAGGTTGGCAAACGTTCATGGGATCCTTTATACTGAAAAGTTCACCTTGTATAGAAGATGGAATTTAAAATTTTTAGAAAAACTGCATGTAATTTAATTTAAATGGGTTTTTTTTATGTTTGTGGGGAATTTCTTTACTTCAAGACAAAATATCTGACTTTCAAAGAATTGAAACAACTCGAAAAAAACACTCTGCAAATTCTCCCAAACGATTCACAGCAAACATCAGACATTTCCATCACTCCTTAAGAGGCCATATTTAGTAGCAGTTTTCGGACGAAGGGTAAGTCAAAGCATAGCATTTGATCACCAACCAAAGCATTTGATCACCAACCAAAGCATTTGATCACCAACCAAAGCAAACGCCAACAAAAGTGCGAAACGAAAGGAAACAAGCAGTAGAGTGAAGTGAAGTATGATAAGCGAGTCCTGGAGCGCTAATAACCAAGAGCTGCTGACAAGCTAGTAAAACCGCCTTAAAGTCACATACAAAGTCAATAAAGTTACCTAATTCGTTCAAAACATCAGGCGCCCATAACGTATCTGTGGCACTCCTGAAGAACGCTAATTTCTTTTCGTCGTCCCAATTCATCTTCCTTTCCAGTCCTGCGAAAACGATGTAAGCAAGTCCTTCGTCCACTGTAACTGTACATTCACATTCAGCCGTCTTACACCTACAATTGAAAGAATCTTTATCGCCTGTTGCCAGGAGATATTCCCGAACGAGCTTCCCTAATGACTCAGGGTCCCCTAGTTCTTTTCCCATGCGATGAAAAACCTCTGTAGCATCAATATTAAACCCATTGTCTTCGATAACTTGAAGAAGTTTCCCGACCGCCTCTGCGGACCACTCCTTGGTGAAAGTCCTTTGCGCGACCGTCAAAATACATGCTATGTGGGTCTCCAGAAATTTGACTCTAACTGGCGCGTTACACAGCGTAAGAATTAAACTGGAAAGATCTGCGCCGTCCTTCTCACATATCTTTAAGAACAATTCTGCAGTATTACTGGCAGACGGGCGCCAATGACGGACAGTTTCTCCCAAGATTAAGCTCAATGCGATGTTATACTCATCAAATTCTTTGATAGACAGTTCAGCTAGATTAGAGATGAGCTTATACACCGTTTCAATGTCCCATAAACTCAAGTCGTGGTTTCGGATTTCGTGAAAGAACTCGTGGATGTGTTTCTCTAAGCAGATAGACGCGTTGGAGTCGTTACTTGATGCATCGCTGTCTTCTTCTATTTGCTCGGCTTCATTTGATTGCTCACGAGCTGAAAACAGTTATAAAGATACTGACTAAGAACTGGTTGTGGTCGAGTTTACTTGCAAGAGAGGGGAGTGGGACCTACAATAACACATTGTCATGTTAAGTCGTTTAATAACTTCTTAATAACCACAAAAAGGAATCACGTACAGTGCATCGGTCTGGTTTAACATCATAAATTAATGGTGACATTATCTACGCGTCTCTCCTCCAATAGATCATCAGTTAGAACCACACAAAATAGGAGTTTAGTACAGTTTATCGTATGGAAACACTTTGAAAGGCTTATCCCGGCCCCTGCAGTCGAGTCCTGAAAAGGATTCATCGCGTTCCTGACCTTGTCTTCTTCTAAGTCTGTTCCACAGCTCCATAGCACCGTCTAATGTCAAAGGGTCACGCCCATGGTCACCATCACTGCTGCTGTCATCATCGTCTGTTTGTACCCCGGCGACAGCAGCAGCTAACAGCAGGTTAAGGTTGCCTCCTGCTTCAACGGCACCCATTTCTAACGGGAGAACCGTTCAGTTAAACTAACAACTCTGTAATGATTAAAATGTTGTATACAAGATGATACAACGCAATCTACGAAGAAGCCTGCATGAAACAATATGGTGCGTTGTGAGTAGTACTTCTTGCCACGTGTTTCATTCCGAAATTTCCAGTTTTTCTCCACCTTCCATATTGATTCACAAATTTCAGTTATTCCTTGTCAGTGTTTATAGCGTGTAACAAGTTTCGGTTGCAGGAAATTTTTATGCAACTTGCTTTGGAAAGTCAGTTTAAACGTAAAAGGTTGGTGATGAAATTTCTTACAGGTCTGTACAAAGAACAGCTGAGCAAAAGAGAAACGATTTCTTTGGCACAAAATTAAGAGTTTGGTTCCTCGTTACTGGGCTTCTTTAGCTACGCGGTTACCCAGATCGTCCCAGGGGTCTATATTTGTCCCAACTCCGGGAACCCCAGGGGTGGAAAGAAGAGAGGGCCTTGGAATAAGTTGGCCGGTTGCCAAAGGTCGTTGAAGACATCACTGAAATCGGGTTATTTGAATTCTCAGGGGTAAACTATCTCTGAATTTGGGTGAATCTAGACATGTTATCTTTCACTCACCAATAACAGCTATGGCTGGATAAACAGCAGGCCTTAAAACAAAGAATTAAATATACATTAATGAGATGATGATCAACAATGCTCCCTACTAAACTTCCCTGACCTTTCTCCAATTTGGTGGTACTATCATAATTTCTTTGGAGACAGAAAAATTTTGGCTCAATTAGTGAGTCTGCAGAACACTAAATTATCCTACAGAGCAGGCTTAACTTTTGCAAACAATTGCACAGAATTCTCATGGTGAAAACTATAGCTGCTATCTTTGATTTTAACAGCAGCAGAAGACTACCCTGCCAGTAGCTACCTATCTTCTGAGAGGAGAAAAACTCTGTGACAGTAAAAAATGAGCACAACATTGAATTCCCCCTTTGACAACCCAGAGTTCAATTTGCCAATTTTTAGGCCTCTGCATCTCCCTGCAAAACTCAACTATCAAAGGAGATAATAACAATGCATTCAAATCTAGACATTTAGTTTAAACTGACTTACATGAAAAGTTGCTCATCAGGGTGATTGTACCAACAATTTTTTCCAAATAAGCAGCGTCCTTCCTGGTAATAGTGGCAAACCTTGCAAGAGAGAAAGCATTTTGAATCTTTTACTTGTAAAAATAACTGGAAAGTAGGCCTTTTCTGGCTCAAAGATGACGGAAGTTATAATGACAAGAAAAAATCCCTGGGTAGCAATCAGGGTACAAGCACACATTGTCCCTGGTCATCTTAAGCCCTTTACCTCTAAGGGTGACCAGCATCTAATTTTCTTCCGGATAAAGAAACCTAGGAAAGCTAGAAAAGCTCCAAAGAAGAAAACTTAGAACTCTAGGAAAAGCTTCCAAGATTGTCTTCACTTTCCAGCAGGGTCCTGGGAGCACATATGATTCCATTAGCCAAGTGTGACTTTAAATTGGAACAACTTTCTATGGAGATTATAGCCTAACCCTTTATGCCCAAACATCAGTATTCATTTTCTCCATACTGTTCTCCATAAATTTCATAAGATGCTAACAAGGAGAATTTGCCAAACAATCAACAGCTTCTTTAGTTGGTGATCATTTCCTCAATTCTTTTGACATTCAGAGTTGAAATTGTAAGGAGAAATTAGGTGTTAATCACTCTAAGGGGTTGAATGGTTAATATGAAAGCCTGCCTGTCTTTCAGCCTGCTGTCAAACATTGAAAACATTATGGTAAAATTGGTCAATCTGGATAATTTTTCTAAGTGAAGTGTCTATTTTTCCTTAACATATGAAAAGTAGCTGTTATATAAAAAATAAAAGAATAAATGCAGGAGGAAATAGTGCACAGTAAATCTTGATTTCATAGATGAGAGAGCAACAATTTTCCTGCAAGGTTATTGTCTAAGGGGCACTACCAAACTTCCACTTGTGAGTGTATAAAGCAGTTTAAATTTGTACATGCATCTGACTTATCAAGCACAACAGATATTAAATTCAGAATAATAATTAATGATCCAATGGCTATGTAATACTTACAGGGACATCTTTGCTGTCATGTGAAAACCTGCAGTTATCACCCTCCCTGCATTCTCCACGTATGTAATATCTGACGAATAATTTGGAACCAGAGATATAAGTGTCCAAGCTCATTCCACAATTTGTAGGAAGACAAGAAATTAGGATCTGAGAGTAAGGCCAGTAATTTGAACCAAAGACTACATTTTGCAAATATGAATAGTTCAATATAATCAACCATTCCCATTCAACATCTGAAGAAACAAAATTGAAAAGACTATGGAAAGACTAGGGAAATAACAGTCAGTGAAATTCATAAGGGGTAGTGGGGGGGAGGGGAATTAACTGATAAGAAGATTGCATCAAAAGGCTGATAGATTGGGTTATCAAGATGTTTAAAAATCATTTGTAAACATTGTTTCATTTCTTGTGATAGTTCAGCCAAAAAATTAAGCAATTTGTAACCATGATCAAAAACTTGAATTTTTTAAAACCTTAAATTCAATGCCGTTCCCAATAGGCAAAAATCTGGGTGAGGAACTTTTACCTATCAATTATATTTCACAGCAACAGAATAATAAATTTTCACGACTCCCAAGAGTAACTAGCATCATATTTCTCTTCAAAGAATCGCCTCCCAATCACACATTAAGGCCACAAGAATGAAGGGATATGATTAATAACAAAAAATCTCCAGATCGTTAAACAAATTCTCTTTGTCAGCGCCTTTAGAAATGTATAAAAAAACTACAGCGAATATGCAAACTGATACTGAGGTGCAAAAGGGTTTAGAGTTACACTCTCAATACAGTTCTTAGAGGAGAGAGAAATCATTGGCATTTACAAAAAAAAAAGCCATAAATATTACCTGCAAAATCCATTAGCCTTCCTGCAAGATAAAGAGAGTGGCTGTGAGTGTGATCAAACCCTTTTCAGATAAGTAAGTTGTATGAATTCAATATCTTCTCGAAAATATGGACGTCTACCCGTCAGAATTCCGGGGTTTTCATGAAATCTAAATTAAACCAGCCAACTCAAAAATATAGCAACATTTATGAACTAATTAGCCAAGTTTATAAGTCCTCGATCGATGCGATTTCGTAACGAACATATTAATCGTTTTGCAGCCAGCCATCGATCGATTTTAATGACTGTAGCGTTAACGAAACTGTTGTTAGAGATAAGTTGGTAATCGACCAAATGATACATTCTAGACCAGCAGTTAATAACGCTAAGTTGATTTTACAATCACACGTACCTCTCGGCAGCCGATGCAGTCTCCATCTTTAAAAACTCCCGCGGTCTTTCTTCCCGCGAAACGGCTACTTTATATGGCAGAGAGTCATGTGACTGATTCAAATGCACTTCGGTCTCAAATATCAGCGGTTACTTCAGAAGCCAATATGGCGGACAAGAAGGTATTGAATTTGTGTAAGTCACTATTTTCATCCAGTTCTTCTTCCATTAATGCAAAATTTTTCAGATATTTCACGAGATATCTCTCGAGTACAGCTACTAATCTGAACGAAGAGAACAGGATCTGTTTTGTTACTGATGGGTGTAGTACCGAAGAGTTGGAGACAGTGCAAGATTTAGTTGTCGGTAATTTAGAAGTTTGTGGAAATTTCATTTCCGAAGAAGAGCAAACTTTACTGTTGAAGGAGATCGAACCATATTTGAAGAGACAAAAGTATCAATATGATCACTGGGACAATGTAAGTGTCATTACCGCTAGTAACAGTATGGAATAAATAGTGATAGTGCGATCTGTTTAATTTACGTGTAACGATATCGTTTACAACTTTACAGAACTCTAGTAACATATTTTCGGGTCCCCTTTCTGTCAGAATTTGGTTACGTTATTTTTTAATCGAAAATTCATCGGATCACATTGAGATCTGATCTGAGGTCTTCAGCTCATGTTAGCAAAGAAAAAAATATTGAAATTTTCCCACATAATTTTTTAACAGGCAAAGATAAAGTTACAGAGTATTCTTACATTAACTCAGTTCAACTTTGTGTCAACCTGTAGCTTAAGCAAATAATTCACGTACAACCCAATGATTGAGGACTTTTTCATCATGGAATCTTTAATTCTTGCAGGCAATCCATGGATATAGAGAAACAGAAAAGTCAAGATGGAGTCAAGAGTGTTTGTCAGTTTTCCAGAGAATTCGAGATGTTGCATTCAGGCCTGGCATGGAACTCTTGCCCCATGTTCATGCATTAGATCTAGCTAAAAACGGGTATGTTAAAGCAACCAAATGATTATTAATTCTTTAACTCCCAGAAGTGATTAAAATGTAAGAAATAAAGTACTTTTTCAGACCCCTAGCTTATTCTCTATAATCTCAAACAATTATCCTCCTAAGTGTAAATGAAGGCACTGCATATTTACCTCCACTTTGGTAATTACATGATTGTAACTGCTAAGCTTTATGTCCCAGACTTGACTAACATGTAACTTTTCCCTTTAAACTGTAATCAAAATTTTCAGGTAGAGGTTGTTATCTTGATCTAAAACCAAATGCTTGTACCTAAGTTACAAGGAAATGTGTAGCAGCCAGAGGGGAGAATTAATGATCAGATACTGTGAATTAGATGGTTAAATGGTAAATAACTCCTTATACATGTGAATGAACTAAACCCATAACAAAATTTTTCAGGCTGGAGACAAACTGTACTGGGATTGTTTTACAGGGATTGTTTTTGGTTGAACATTGAGCTGTGCACATGACAGTTCCTATTAAGATCCATGTGTGTGTTATTTTTATATGAGTAGTTGTCAACAATGGTCAATAGTTCTACAATGTCCAATGCTGTTGAACACTAAACCCTTTGATCACTAGAGTGACTAGCATCAAATTTCTCTTTACATTATCACCCCTGAATCACATACTAAGGTCCTAGGAATTAAGGAAATGATCACCAACTGAAGAAGTTGATCATTTTTACACACATTCTCCTTGTCAACATCTTAGGAAATGCATGAAGAACTGTATGAAGAATAGTAAAGGATGTGAAGGATTAAAAGTGTATTAAGTGCTTTAGGCTCCTGTACAGTTATACTGTTCGAATAAAAATACTGCTTGTTGTTTGAAAAAAAGTACCAGTACTAAACCTTATTTCAGTCATTCTGTTTGCAACATTTGGTTGCAAGCTGTCTTTTAGCAAGGTTTAAATTACTAAAATTACATTTATTTTAATATCTTATTTTGTTTCAGGTACATTAAACCCCACATTGACAGCATTAAGGTAACAGATGACTTCTTAAAATATTTGCTTGAAAACAAAATCAATCAAAATTAGTAAATGTTCCAGTTACTATTAAACTTAGTACAGTACTACTTTTAAACCTTTGCATTTTAAGTCTGACATCTCTTAGTACTCCAAAATAAGTATGCAAAAATGCATGAACACACACACACAAACACACAATTTTATATAAGGAACTATAGTTTGGATGAAAACCTTGTTTTGTGGAGTGTAACTGTCAAGGAAATGGTTTTAAAAAGAAGTTTATTTGAGGAGGCAAAGAAGTGAAACATCATGAATTTTGTCTTTTCAGTTTTGTGGAGCAATAATATCTGGCCTTAGTCTACTGTCACCTTCAGTTATGAGATTTAAACATGACAAGCTTTGCAATGTCAAAGTTGATACCCTTCTCCAGCCAAGATCACTCTATATCATAAGGTATATGCATGCAATGCCATAAGCATAATAGTTAAAAATAAAACATGAATGATACAATATCCCAATAATTTTGTGAGGTGCTGGTTTGTTTTAGCATTACTACATTACACCAGGGATATGTTAAGTGATGCTTCATGTGAGTTTCAGCATTAAGGTAATATGTTGATCATAAAATCCAATGGTTAGAAGCTTACAACCAGAAATGCTTTTCCTCTACTCCACACTGCTATTTACTCAACAAGTCTAGGCAAGATAGGCTTATTGGAAAACACTTTCTATTAGGAGCATTGTAAGTAAGAGACATGCATGGAAAATGAGTAAAACATTTTTCTTTCATTCAATTAGAGATGCTGTAAGGTATGAATTTACCCATGAAATATTGAAAGAAGAAGAATCTGTTTGGAGAGGAAAGACTGTGCCTAGAGACAGAAGAATATCATTAGTCCTCAGATGTCAACCCTAGCATTAATCAATCATCTTTTTTAAATGGCTATGTTCTAGATCCATTTATTCATAATGCTAATATCTAATTATTTAAAAAATATACTATACATATTTTCACTGCCATTTTTCTCTGCTGAGAATAAAAATTGAATGAATAATTAGGGCAAACATTTAGATAATACATTATTTTAAATCAACATGTGCAACATTTCAGAACGGTGAGCCCATATTTAGAAGTCTACTGTAGAGTTTCCTCATTGCATGAAAACATTAAAAACATTCACTGCAAACTGATTGTGTTAGGTGTGGTGTAAGAGGTTTGGATGTGAGCTATGAGTATGGACTTTTTCAAGGTCACAGCTGCCTTTTCAACCCTTGGCAGCCTCTTGTGAAAAATTTACTGAGACATGTGGTTGAATGATGATTTTGGTTGAATCATGGCAAATACTGTTGGGTACCAGAGGACCTTTTCTATAAAGTCTCGGTAACTAAACAAGCCTGTAAAGGTGTGCTATCTTTATTCAAGATGGGGGTTTAAAAAGTTTCGAAATTAAATTATAGTAAAACTATCAGCTGAAGGAACAAATTAGACTGGTTAGGGCACCAGAACATGCTTCTCTAATTTTTAAATTTTGATTTTAAAACAAGGCTTCAGATAAGCTACTAGAACTTTGCCATGGAGGTCTGATCATGTCCAGTGACTTTCAAATCCAATTTCATTATTAAAATTGTGCTAATCCACCAGTTAAACACCAAGTTGTTTTTCATGTGATTTCTGGTGAAATACAAATGTTACACCACTTGACCAAGCTCCTTTCAACATGACATCATCCAATCCCTTGCGATCTGCACAGTGATTCCACTGTGACAGATCTGCACTGCAATCAGTACCCTCAGGGGGTAAGGTAACCTGAATGTTGTTTACACATCTACGACACTTGAATCTGTGCAAAACATGAAAAAAA